ATGGAGGATTCATTAACTCGATTTGATGATATGTTCATCATGCTTAATCCTGAAGTTATTCCATTAATCTATCCAATTAAAGAGGCTTTTATTACTATTAATTTTCCAATGAATAAGATTTTTTTGACTTTATCTAGTTTTTGTAAAAGTTTGGTTAGTAAATTCATGAAATTTTTCTTTTATTTTAAAAATTTGTTTATTTTTGTCAAATATAGTTAATCAAACGATCTTTATTTTTTAGGAATACATAGATATAACTACTATTCAACAATTTAATCTACAAGAAACAGATAGTAGTGGTATTGCATCGTTGATCATTTCTCAAACATCACTACGTACATTAGTGCTTCGTGGATCATTTCAATTTTTGGATCAAATATTATGTGCTCTTCCATCTCAATCCGATTCACTCAAAGATCTTACTTTTTCTTTTGTAGATTTTTCTGCATCTACTCCATTACATGGTATAGCAGCATGTAAAAATTTAAGAGAATTGAGATTTTGGGAGTGTTATAACATTTCAGATGAAATATGTGAACCATTGGTGAACTGTGAATTTGAGAAATTACGTATCATTGATTTAGAAGAAACTCATAGCAAGATACTTATGGAATGGAAGGAGAAAAGAGAGAATCAACAGGACTAATAAAATTAATTAGGTTAATGATGAGACGCATAAAATATCTATTGGTGTAAAAAGCAAGAAATTAAATTTTGAAGATGAACAGCAATATATTATGTCGCAGAAAAAAAAACCGGGTAGAAAAAGTCTTTAAATATTCTATATAGACTGAGAAGCATACTGATTGATAATCAAAAAAGTTTACACGCTGATCTCACCTATGAACTTGCATGTGAGATGTCCGCTTCTGCAGTCATTGAAGAAAACACCCATTACAAACAATTGCAATAAACAACAGAACCAGATAAAGGAAAAACAAAAAATGATTAATTCGAAGAGAATGAGTTCTTTACTTCATTATTAATAGTATGAACTGACTTTAATTTCAAGCAATTCGCAATTTTAGCTGGTGACAACTCTTTTACAAAACTCCAAAATGACAAAAACCAAACCGTGCGTAATTCTATAATGGGTGTTATAATACAATTGAATATTTGGGATGCCAATTCGAGACAGAATATGAAAAGGTCCTCTACCTATTAAGGAAATACCTTAATTACGCTAGACAAGACCAAACATCCATGTTATCCGATTGTCGTGATGTAATCAGAATTATAATCTATATTGCAATATCGATGTACCAAACGCTTATATTCAAATAAAAATTTGATACCATTTGATCTTTGCACTATACGTATATTTTCATGAAAATATGAAACAGTTTATTTAGTATACATATGAGTATCGCTAAATAAAAGCCCAAAAGTCGCCTTTGTAAATTAGAAGTTGTGAATCTCGATAAATTTAGGTTCAGAATAAGTCATAACTAAAAATTTTTATTTGGTGTTCAAATGTCTATATTCCTAATCAAGTAATGAGAGTTTTCTTAATAATCATGATCTCTGGTTTTCACGTAATAACGCGCATCTGAATACTTGTGGCTATTTCGAAACTTGCACATGTGCGGTATTTTGAATCGTTTTACATAAAACGTAATAGTTTTGGTATAGAATAACCATATGTGCTAATCCAATTCGCTTCAGATGCAGTACAGCAAATTTATTATGTAGAGACGCGTCGTTTGAGACGCACATAGGCGTTATTTTGAGTCAGATAAAATTTCAAAATACGTTAATACGCGTAAATACTGTCGGGAATTGATTGGTCGCACGTGTTATTAATTAGAGCCGGGTCAGATCGTAATATGCAGTTAGTGTAACGATATGTAGTAATATGCGCGTAATCAATGGCATATCGAACAATGTAAAGTTAATAATGTTCGATTATGTAATCGTGCATAATAAAGTAAATAAATAAGAGGTTCGATCTTAACGATCGAACCCACCTTTGATTTTCTAGTAAATAATACCTGTAATAAATAATATATCGAAGTGCCCAATTGGAAAGTGACGTAGTCGAAGTGACTATTAAGGTGTTGACAGGTGAAAGAAAGTAGGAAACAAAGTAATAAGTAAAGCGAGTGTAAAACGTTAATACAAACCTCTGGGTTACGACATTGAGTGCATCGTACATTCATTAACCCCGTGTCAGAAGGACCTGGGTAAGACCATCATCTCTCACAACAACAAGCAGTACAAGTTAGACAAACCGCTAAAATAAGTTGTGGAAGCTATAAGAACTGTGAATTAAGCGGTTTGATGAACATTATAATTAAACAGTAGAATCATAACGAACAATATGAACAACTAGTGTATACATAAAGATGAACGAACTTTAAAAAGTATAGATCAACCTAACCATATTCAATAGAACATTAAAACAGAGAATAAGACATAGAAAGCTTTGACACGACTATACCTGTATACAAAGGTGCCGAAGTGGATGATATAGAAAATTTCCTCTTCGTTTACAAAGGCTATGCAAAGGCAAAGAAATATGATGAAGAAATGACTTGTTTTAGAGTATACATGCATATGCTGGAAAGTATAAGAATGTGGGTGAGAAAGTTAGTACAAATGGAAAAAACTTGGGCCCAATTAAAAACCAAAATTAGTGAAAAGATCAAAGCAGAAAATGAACCAGAGATAATAAACCTCCAG